TCTCATGACACGTTGAAGGACCACAAAGTATTCACACACTGCAAAAGCTGGAGGAAACTGGCAGGGAGGAGAATTACTGCAACAGGGAGTTGAGGACAGATCCCTAACAAACATCTTATGCCCTTAGCTGTGTCATTCAAGGCAGTTAGTTAACTCTCATGAAGAAATCCACTGCAGAGGTTAAATACACCAAGTACATGTAAGGCTGTCAAAACCAGCTTTTACACTGTGGGCACAGAAATTTACTCTCATAGCTATTCCAAGTGCACTATGAAACATGGAACATTACACTCAAGTGTTTTTCAGGTCAGAATCAAGCCCAGTCCTTCAGCAGAAGAACTCAAGAATTCTTGATTGTCTTTAATTGTCAATTGCCATCAGCTTTCACACATAGTATGATAGGAGATGGCATTTACTCAACTAAGGATGGTTTTTCAGATCAGAATCAAGCCCAGTCCTTTAGCAGAACTCCTCAAGAGCGCTTGATTGTCTTTACATTGTCAATTGCCATCAGCTTTCACACATAGTATGACAGATACTTGCCTTTCCTCAACTAAAGATGCTGAGAAACTGGGCAGAGGTTGCATCCAGCATACAAAATAAAGTTTGAATTTGCCAATGTAGGGAAGAGGCTACAGGGAAAACCCAAGACTCTCATGAAGAACTGAAGAGACAAAATCTCCAAAGCAAATTAAGCACTGGATAGAGTTTGGGAAAACAAAACCATTCATCCGTTGTGGACAGAGAAGTTGGGACTGAACTGGTGACACTGTTACTTCAGGAAACTCTTCTGTCTTTAATTTTGTCCCACAAAGTATGTTAAGCATGATGTCAAAAGCTTTTTGGATCCCTAGGCTCATGGAAAAAATAACTGAATGTTTCCACATGTATTTCAAGTTGTAAGAAAAGGCTACCAATGGCATGACTGAACTGCACCCACTGTCTTGAGGAACTAAAATTATATTTCAAATTACAGTTAAAAACTACCCTCAAACAAAATAAATCTGTAATTACCCACACCACCCCCCACACTGAGTGAAATAATTGCATGGCTTCTGGAGAGGTGCATCTTTACTGGCTGGCTTAAGAAAACTCAATGTAGCATCACCCTCCACCTGAAAAGAAAATATTTGCTTTGAAATAATGACTGATAATGACCAACTACAGCTACTAAGGTACATTAAAAATCTGGAGGGAATTCCATACAAGGTAATTCCAAAGGAGGTAAGATTACATGCCTTCAAAAAGGGTACTTGGAAGGCATGTACCTGAAAACAGGTATGTCACAAAACTCAGCTGCAGGGGACAATGATTTTCAGATGATTTCTGAATGCTTAAGTGACTCCATGAATTTTTTCATTGGTTCTTGCTGTGTGAGAACAAGAGAACAATTCTCAGAGGACATTCATCCTAACATTGTTGTGATAGCTCAGAGGAAACCAGCAGAAAAGAATTCTGCAAAATCTTGTATAAAGCAAACCAATGAGAAATAGCAATAAAATGTTTAATGCCTGTAATTTATTGTATACATACTCTGCAAAATTTATATGCATTTGGTGTGTGCAAAAGTGTACACTTTGACAGCACCAGGAGACAGTGAAGCTATGTATGAGTTTTTAACCTGATTTGTCACATTGTGTAAAAAGACATTGTGCACAAATGATATCCCCACAGGAAAAGAAAAATCAGCTAAAACTAGAAGCACCCTTATTTACACACTAACACTTTCAATATTGCATCACACCCACTCCCCAAAATAAATAGAAGTACATTCATCACAATTTGAACACCAGTCTCTCCATATATTTATTTTCTTTCTGACATGTTTTGGTCTCCAGAAATATGCTATATCTAGAAATATGCATTAGCTACTAGATCATGTTACAAAATGCAAAAAAAAAAATAGAAAATTAGTTTTCCTGGATAACATTTTGGACTTTACACAAAAATAAATCCAGATTTCCATAGAGATCTCATATACTTCTTGAAAGATTTTTTTTTATTTTAAAGCACAGCACAGAGTTGCACACTAAGGCTTCCTGTGATATGCAAAACCCTGGCCTCCAAAAGACATAGCTGTAAAGTGAAGTACAGCTTAAGTGTAAATACATTTTCAAAAAGTAGTCATCAATAGAAAGTGCCCTTCATTTGATTTAGCATTAGCAGTAAAGAAGTTGCTGCTGTCATTGTGCAATCAAAAGCCAGACCTGGAAGGGGTTTAGGAAAAGCATCTCATTCCACACTATCAAGTTAAAGGATATAGAATCTGAGATAGTAGAAACCAACCAACCTTTTTATACGCCTACATTCTTTTTCTTTTGACACAATTTAGTAAAAAAGGCACATGGTCAAACAGTGAATTAAAAATCTAAAAACCTAACCAGAATTTCATTAAATACCATTAAATTGTTAGCTTAACATCAGATCCTCATAAACCAATCAGCATTCCTCCAGTTTTTCTTAGCCTCAAATTCAGATGCACTTTGGACAAGTACTGAAGTACTCTCACTGGATTAATACTATTCATCTGGCAAACAGTAAATGTGGGTTTTGAATACAAGGTCAGGACTTAAAATACAAAAATTTAGTTCCTTCCTAGCTGATTTACAAATCTACAGCAAATGCAAACACATTAAAACCCAAACATTTGTACAAAATTTGAAAACTATTAGCATCCCATGCCAATTATGAGGAAGTACTTCTTGACTGTAAAATTACAAATGTCCTGGAATAATTTATATGAAAAAGACAAAATTTAGCCAAGGATCACTATGAAGAAGCAGGTATACGGTGTCTCAGGGAGGCTAGCAGAGTACATTCCAGTCACTCAGACAAATGACAAAGTGCTTTACAGATTTAGAAATGTAACTGATCTTGCATGGTTAAATAATCAGAAACTAGTGAAATCATCAGGTTTTATTTAGCCTATACTTCTGAAATGCAGATATAATTCCCAACTGAACCATGTCAATGAATGTATTTCTTTTGCTTCATGAGAGACTTTTTTGTCCTCAGGCAGCAGGAAGTTGCTCACAGCTGATACAGCTGGCTGGGTTGGCAGACCTAGAGCCCTTTCTGCAGCTAGAAAGAATGAAAAAGTAAAAAACTTGATCATGGTCCCAGTGTTCATTGTCTTGAATGAATAATTCTAGGAACAATAGAAAATCTTAGATGGTCCCAGTGAAGCAGAGCAAATACAACACTTCTAGACAAGCAGTGAGGTTACACCACCTCACATGATCAAGTGCATACACTGAGAAACAGTTTTTGTTAATATAGAAAGCTAAATACAGAGGAGCAAGGGTGGTGCCTCCACCTGGGCTCCCTCTCAGCTAATACTGAAGTCTTCTGCAGGATCTGTCCCAATAGCTTACTCAGGTCTGTTTTACTGAGGCAGTGAAATGCTACACCAACAGGAAACAACTTTAAAAGACAGATCTGTTTTTTCTTACATTAAGAATCAGATGGTTAAACTTCAGCAGCTTCCAAGATTGTTCCTTACAGGCTGCTATCAGAACAGCTTCCTAAAGGCAGCACTGTTAAGAATAGTGCCTGATGGGAAAGGTTCTTTTATTGTTTTTCTACAAGGTAATTTTTCCTTCTCTTTCCTTTACTACTTTTCCTCCAACCAGAAAAGCCCTTTTTTTGTACTTTTCCAAGTACTTCTAGTATTAAAACATAAGAGCCTTGGCAGCTCAAGCCAGAGGTGCTATCAGCAGAGTCCTGGAGCTTGAGGCAAAGCCAAGTACTGATACTGGTGGGCTTTGAAGGGCAACCTGGGGAAATCAAAGTAGCTGCAACACCAGATTTGAGCTTCAGACTCAGTACAACTCATGTAGACTTACATGAACCTGTGCTGATTGTAAACAAAGTCAGTTACTGAACGAAACAGTCTTTAGGTGCATAGTTAGAAGTAATGTGCAAATATGGGCATTAAGGTAAGTAACTAACTCCTGCTATATGTAACATTTTAGATTTTTGGCTTGATTAATTTCATCACAAGTATTAACTAGTTAACATGAAGTCATTAATATTAAAGAGCTGCAAATACATTCTAACCAACCTTAATTCTGATGTGCTTCCTAAATAGTAAACCTAATCAAATGACTGCTCCGCATTTTGAATCATTGAACACATCAGATGTTTAATGCAAGAAAAAACAAGTCCACTGTACACACTGTAAAAGCAGCAGCAGCTGTTAAACAAATGTAAGGATTTACAGGGCAGGAGAAGAATTCCCAAGCATATGCTTGAGCCCAAAAGCACAAGTTAAATATGAATGCTAGAAAGTTCTGTTTTCAGGGTGTGCATCATACTGAGTTAGATTGGCATTGGAATTCCAGACAAAGCAAAAGCCAAGATAATCTTTTGGCCATATCTATAACTGTACCATTTGCAACTGACACGCACTTTTCTGTTTAGAAATAAAGAGGCTCAAATTGTTTTCATGGGTCCTCAAACAGGAAAATATGCAGCACTTTATTGCTTTGAACATCTGTGGCAACAGCTGAATTTACACCCAAGCTGCTTCTGTACAGAAGATGACATTTCAATACTTTGAGGCTCAAGTTGGGAGACAGTAGGATATAAAGCAATTTCTAAGTCTCAATAAATATCAGGGAACAAGAATGCTACTCCTTTCTCTCAAGTGAATGCAAGATTGGTTTACTGGTATATGGGCCCACACAGTTCCGTGTTAGTGCATAGCTAGTCAATATTTCTGCTGGCATCTTGAACTGGTTTAATCAATGGAAACATCTATTAATTTTCCACTTAATATGCATTAGTGCATTAATTTCTTCATAAAAAACCAACTGTGGCAAGTATTAAAAATAAATATCTTATTTAGGTCAGACTAAAGCCTTGTTTTTCAGTACTTTAATCCCTTTAAATATTCTTTTGCCCTCTAACAAGCAAACAGAAACTGAAGTAGAATAAGAGATGTATGGAGGCAGAGGGTGGCAGAAACATGAACAAAGTCAACGTGGGTGGTAGGTCAGTCAACGTGTCCTCAGCTTCTTCGACTGTCTCTTCCGCTTTAGTTCTTCTTCCTCCCGTCTCAGTTCTTCCAGGTCCTCCTGAACACCGAGTCTCAAGCTGCAGAGTAAAACAGAATCCTTTACACACCAGTTCAAGGAATGCAATTTCTACCTCTTCCCCAAAAAAAAGCAATCCTAAAATTACTAGAGCCGATTTGAGCAGAAATTTTAGATCAGTTCAACAAGCACAGATTTTAATTAGTAAGAATACAGCTTTAAGAAAAGAAATAATTCTTATCATTAAATTAGAATAAAATCCTTTGAGGGAAAAATTTAAAACCTGTTGAAAACACCAAAAAGTTCAAGATTATGAAAAACTGATTTTGATATGAAAGGTCATTTCCCCCCCCAATAATCTGCTGAAGCACATCCATCAATTCTTGCCAATGTAACTGTTACATATGCAGCAGGATTGACTCATCAGCTTCTGAGAGCCACCTAAAGCCTTTACACTGGCAAGGGAGAGAACAGATGCCTCAAACAGTAGGGAAACAAAAGATTTTGTTGCAGCTGCCTGGCTTGAGGCACCTACAAGCCCAACACTTCTCCCCCTTCAGCCCATCCAGCTGCCCTGGCTCTGGTGAGCAGGCCCATGAAGAGACTACTGCAGTTCATTCTAGCCACTGCTCTGCATAATTTCTTCAGCTTCCTAGACATCAGTATGTTGATGTATGGATGCATGTTGAAAGTGATACTTAAAACAGCATCTGTAATCACTGATCTCCTCCTCCATAAATAAGGGCTGGATAGTCTTGCTGGTTTAATAGTAGGAATGAGGAATTTTCATTTCAGCTGAGAACAAGCACAAATTAGTGGGCTGGCTTGCCTAGAAAAAGTTCATTTCAAGCACCACAATGCCTTTAAGCAAGCTCTCAGTGAAGAGTAGCTGTGCACTGGAAATAGGTCAGCTCAGTTTTACTCGAGTTTCTTATCTCCCCTTCCTTTTTGCAGCATGTGTAGTTAAAAGTTAGCCAGGTAGTCAACTTTACAAAATCTCACTCTAGGTCTAGAGAGAATTCAGTCAATAGCAATATAATTTTACAATTCCAGTTGTTTCTAACTCCTTGTAACAGACTATGGCTTTGCATGAGCTGCAGCTAGGAGCTTGCTCTTGGGAGAAAGGAAGAATAAGGGCACTGACTGCAATTTTAATGCTCAAGGCACCTTCTGGATAACAATATAAAAAAGTACAACAAAAAAGTTTGTTAACTCAGTATATTAAAATATATTCTATTTTCTATAAAAGCCTCATAACTTTTGCAAATCTTGCCCACCAGCTAGTAAAAATCAAGATCAGTTTATGGACACCAGGTTTTATAAAATTGTGCAGGTCTAGAGGCCAAAACCAATCATCAAAACCAAGATGAAAGTATCTTCATATTTGAAATCACTGTTTACAAAAGTTGGTTAGAATACTTTATATAAACAAATATACACATGGGTGTATATAGATGAAAAATTTCCTTCCAGTCCTCCAACTGGCAGAATATTGTAGTATTTGGGCCAAAAATATGTTTGAGCATAAGTAGAGTGTGTGTGTTTTTAACAAATTGTGATGTGTGAGAATGAACATCCAAGATTTATTTCATGTACCCACCACTGGCTGGCTGAGTTTCATCTTCACCTAAGGTTTCTTATAAAAGAGTGGGGTTTATTTACCTCTGCTATAAAAAGCAGCAAATATCCATGCCCCATAACCTAGCCCCATGATTAGGGCAATAAAAAAACCCTCCCACTTTCTATCCAAGTTTAATTCCTTGCATACCTCCTAGCTTCTTCCTTCTGTTGCTCTCTCCAGCTGCTCTCCATGTAACGTAAGGCATAATCACTTTCATCTTTGTATCTGGAAATTAAATATTAGTCTTCAGCATGCTAAAAACCATAATAATGTACAGTTATGAATTCACATCCCTCCTTGGAAAGAACAATTCCTTGCCCTACACAGATTAATGTTTTGAAAGAATCTAAGTTATAAGCCTTTAAAATGCTTGCCAGGAAAGAGGCAAGTGTTTAAGCCAGACCAGAGCCTTCATTTTCCAGCAGTTCCCAGTCACACCAGCTTAGATCCTCTTGCAGAACAGCCAACGCTGTTGCATTTAGTGTCATATTCAGGCAGCTCCATCTGATGAAATCTGAAGTACTGCAGAGTGCTAGAAAGCATTTTAGCAACTCTTTCCTCTTAGCAAGGGGAGTCCCTTCAGCACAGAAGCAGCTCTAATGCTTGTGAAATCCCTGCAATGCCAAACCATTTCTGGATACCATCACTTCCCCTAACTCTAAAACATTTATTTGTTGAACTATCTTAGTTTCTATTCTGTTGCTTGTTCTGCAATATCTTAAAACTGGCATTTTTCTTACCTTTTCCGGTCATAGCCAAATATTTCCCGAATATGTTTTGATATTTCTTCTTGGGGTTCCCCTTCGTCTTCAATGAAGTCATCCATTTCTGAGTCATATTCATCATCATCATCATCTTCTATCTGTCTCTTGTAACTAATAGGTGGTCTTCCAAGACCTAAATGACAAGTGAGTAAGAAACAATTCATAACATTAATTTAACATTAATTTACCAGTACTCCTCCTCGCTATACCTCAGGCACAGCCGTTTTACAGCTCTGGTGTTCAAGGTGGAAAACGTCTGTCTCCAGCTAACTAGCAATTCTCAGAAACTCAGTAAAAGGAAATACTTCCTCTAAGCTGTGCTACACATGACATCAGTATCACCAACAGAATCCTGAGGAAACTACCAGACAGACCATAGGTCCTTGTTCAGGGTTTTCTAGGCACTTCTCTGCTAGAGTGCTGGCTCAGAAATAAACTTTTAGAACTGATTGCTCACTGATGTGGTGAACTTGCCAAAGCACTTAAAACCACATGGCAAACCTGTGAAGGATGTTTATTTCATGTACCACTTGAAGCATTTGTTATTTGAGACACTACAAAATTTTCAAGACTAAGCTTAATTAAGCAATGCAGGAAGTGAATCCTTTGATTCATTTCCTTCTAACAGCATTCATATGCCCACAGCCATCACAGGCTGCTTGGTTGTCTTCCGGGTAGTTCTTCACACCCCAGGCCTGTATTTCAAGGACCATGAGCATAGGTTAAAAAACAAAGTCAAAACAGAAAAAAGCAAACTGCCATTAAATGAACTCTTAAAATATGGTATTTTGGCCAAGATTCCCTAATTGCATCTTTAATTGTCAGACCCTCAGCAACCTCAACTCAGACATATATAAAAGCACAAAATAAGTGAGTGAAAAAAAAATTTGCTCTATAACGTTTTACCTTGTGGATGAAACGCAGGTCTATGCCCTTGAAAAGATCTCATTCCATTTATCTGTCCATTGCTAGGTCTCGTGACAAGGTTTTTGGAAGAGATAGTTTCTGACACAACAGTACACTTGGGTTTCGCAGTGGCAGCCAAGGCGCCGCCCGGTCGCCCGGGTCCTGCAC